AGCATATTGATCATATTTAACCGCATTGTATAGACAATGGCTATGCCTGAGGTTTCAATCATTCTTAGGCATTGAAGTCAGACACAATTACCATCAACACATTGGAGAGGGGACATGTTTTAAATCTGACTCTATGGTATCTTCATCAAGTCACCGTCATATTACCAAAGAAGCCTATTAATTTCTCATTAAATCACAACAACATGACAATAATATGATATGTCACAGTTTTCTATGGATAATTCTTAACCAAGTTACGAAAGCAGTCCACCAAGTTATTGTCATGTCATTCATTGGTTCAAGTTAAGTCTTAATATGCATAAATACATTTTTACGCTGAGCTCTTTCGCAGAATACTTTATGCCAGCATTGTGATTTAACGCTTTGCCCTCCCCCTTGCAATACAAGCGGCTGATATAATTTGCCACGTTTTTCTAGGTTTACAGCCATGTGCTATTTTGTTTGCACGACGTAACCATGTAGCGACCAACGCCCATGATTAATGGCAGCCATATTTTTCAGCAAATCATCAATTCCCTGTCATAGGCAAAGTGTATTGGGGGTACCACCGGGAGTGCCGCCTCTGGCATAATGGGCAAAAGTGAGAACCCCCCCCCCCCCCCCGGAAAATCATGTCATTACAGCAGCACTGGTATCGAATCAGAAATAAACCAAGTTTGAATTTTTATTTTGGGATCAACTGCCCCCCCCCCTCCATCAGTACGCCAGTGCTGGTTCTAACCAAACTTTGTAGAATCATCGTCGAGCAGGGCGAATCTGATATTGTTCAGATGTCTTGAGCATTACCCTTACACTACAGGAAATCCCGGGTAGCAACTCTCGAAGTGCTTCGATGGCAATACTTATATTTTTTTCATTAAATTTCTTTATTGAATTTGAACTTGATTGGATAGGAAGTATATGTCAAGCGGGGGAATACGGTGGATTCATAATCCAAAGCGTCACTTAGCGACACCCTGGTTTGATATATTAGTTATGATTATATATAGGCAATAAATAAACCATAAAACGATATAATTATAATCGTTATCGATATCTTTAAAAATATATTGACTTGTCAAAATGTTGGGTGATCTCTACGTACCTTTGTTCTCATATTATTATCCCTTCTTTCATGTCTCCTACCACGTCCTACGGTGCGTTCAAGATAATTTTTTTAAAAGGTAGAATCACAAATATGAATCACAAATCAAAACGCAGTTAAAAAACAATGTTAGTTGGGGAGAGCGTTCAAGCGATTTTTCATCAACGCTGATTCTCGCTCATTTCAAGCCCAGCCACTGCTCAGTCATAGTTCATTTTCGCCGCGTGCTTTCCGTCTGTGTTTACGGTCGACTGTCGGTCAAACCGGAACAGGCCACGATAAAGACGTCATAGAATCATGATTGAGATCTCCGTTCGTTCAAGCGACCGTGATTCTGCAGAATCACGATACAAAACGCATCTTCTTCAGCGTTTCATGTTTGCGTTTTAAAAACGTTTGTTTTTTTATGACCGACGAAAAATCGCCTGAACGCAACCGTAATTAAAAACTAAACGTCTTTAAAAACCGTGATTCCAAAGGTTGAAAAAGTGTCGATTGAACGCACCCTGACACGTCATACCAAATTCGAGCGCACGCTGTCTCTTTCTTTCTCCCTCTACCTCTCCCTTTTCCTTCTCATTTAGCCTTTATATTTATTGGCCCGAATTCACAAAGAAGGTTTGTCGACAAACCTTAGTTTTCGTACGTCATATGACGCGTTTTACGCGTTTTTTTACAAACCTGGTTTGTAAAGAACAAAAGGAGGTTTGGCGAAACAAAAGGAGGTTTGAGCTCAAACCTTGGTCTGAGCTCAAACCTTGCTTTGTGAATTCGGCCCACTATGTTTATGAGCTGCAGGAGGTAGTGTCATTGATTAAAGCATAGTGGAGAACATTGAATTGAAAGGAAACGCTATTTCTTTATCTCGGTTGTTTGCCTTGTCACAGATTCTATAGAGGGAAAATTGCTTGTTACAGGGTTGTGTTGGCATTCACAAGTACCATTTGGGGGAAAACCCCTCTAAGGTTCCCTTTTTTCCTCTCTCTTTCTCTCTCTCTCTCTCTCTCTCTTCTTTCTCTCTCTCTCTCTCTCTCTTCTTTCTCTCTCCATATACCTCTCTCTATTACTTTCTTCATCGGATATTCGTATTCTCGGTTTTCCTTCCCTCTTATACTTTGCTCCATTGTGTCATTATCTTACCATTATATTGAATTCTGAAATATAACCAAACCCCTTTGCATGAATAATGAAAATAGTTTGCCTTTATTCTTAAACTGTTTTACCAAGTTGTACTCAATAGCTGTATATATCTTTACTTGTTCAATTTGAATAACCCAGTTCAGATGTTTTCATAGAATCAGCAGTCTCTGTCAACACATACGGGATATCTTTAACATTAGAACGAGAATTCGATTGGAAATGACGTTAAAAGATACTTTATTATTTTCCATTAAATTTCTTAGATCATATTGCAATATTATATTGTACATTTTGTTTTAATTTTGTAAAGGTTTGGGGTTAAAGTACAAATTAAAGGTAAAGGCCAGTTCTGGTCATGCGATTGCATTTTGAAAGAAAAGTTGTGGAATCGATCAGAAAAGGTTGATCATCTAGCATCTAGCATCTGCAAATTTCTGGAATCATCAAAATGATAATAAATTTGGCCCATTCTTCGTAAAGTTACAAGCACTATACACAGAAAGATGTATATGGGACTACCCTATATCTCTAACAGACCATAAGAGAAACAAATTTACCAAATATATGAATTAGTAGGCGGTTTCCCGGGAAATTTTTTATCATCATGTATTAGTCAAAACATATTCTTTCACATGATTGGTAATGAGAGCTTCCATTTCATTTTTTGAAACTGGGGCGTTTCCAACACTGGTCTTTACCTTTAAGATATGCTGTGGTAAAACGTAGCATGATTTTTAATGTTACAACATTGTAAGGTATAGACGTACACTACTAACGTAACACAGTAAAAGGTATAACATATACTTTTCATCAAATATCCATTACTCGTAATGGATCACAAAGATAAACCATGTACATATACTGAAAATAATTAATGTTTGTAATACCAATGATATATAGGTAAGTCATTATACGCATTCTCCTATGAGAATTGTTTTGTTCTTTGGTTACATGTCAGTCCCTATATTCTAAAAGGTTCTTGGTTGTAACGGTATGTCTGTTCTAAAGATATGGTACTTAGATTGTCCTTACAAAGTAAGGAACGTAAAACATACTTATAACATGAGAAGAATTGAAATATATAATCACGGTAACAGTATGCATGGACTAAGTTACGATTCTACAACCATGATTTGTAACGAAACATGGGGAAAATAATGGTTTTCAACCTGTTTCTCCCCAAACATATCGGTGCGGTTAGCATATGCATGTGATACAATCTCTCCTCGGAGACTAAATCAAATTTGACACATAAAGACTATTTAGGGTAAACACATTCATATCAAATTCATATCAAAATGTACATGTGATATAAAAAAAATATATATAATGCAAAACAGTAAGACCAATACAAATTGAGAAGCTTCCGTGTTTTATGAGCTCCTTTCAAGCAAACTCTTGTAGCGTACGGGGATCATTTGATATTCAATGCATTCATTCTAACATGTTCATATCTCGATTCGACATAAAATAAATATATTTACAGTGGGAAACAGTAAGAACCATATACATTGAGAAACTTTGATGTATTATGAGCTTTTTTTTCTATCAAACTCTTTAGCATAAAAAAAGTGTTTAATATTCAATAAATTAAAACTTTGTTGTCTACATAGAGTTAGTTCTCTTTGTAATAATAATAATAATAATAATAATAATATTTAATATTTATATAGCGCTTAATACAAATGTCTCTAAGCGCTTTACAAATATACTATTACCCCGGTCATTGGATTCAGTGCTTGCCCGCACACAACGTGTGCATAATCTCCACTCCCTGGGGAGCATTCCAGGAAGGCGTTACATGACGCTCAAAAACTGTTTGACCAACAAGGACGGTCGCATCCTACCGGGTACCCATTTAACACCTGGGTGGAGAGTAGCAAGTGCAGGTTTATATCTTGCCAAAGGATATTAGTGCCGAGTCGGGATTCGAACCCTCGACCTTCGCATCTCCAAGTCAAGCGCCCTAAACCACATGACCACGACATGAATATACACGTAGTGCGTGGCTTATATTTGAAAAGAAGACTCCTAAGAGATGCGGTTGACAAATTTGATACTGTTTCTGTTTAATTCGACATCTGTTGTGTTGATGCAATGCCTTTATATTGAAATTATACATTAGATTCCACTTATAAATGTCCAAAGCAATGATTATGCTAATGCAAAATGTGCTGATAACAGACGATGAACATAATGCACATTGTTTATGCTAGGCATTCATATTGATTTTGCAGGTCTAACGCCGAATTAAATATACATAATCAAGCCAAACAAGAAAATATCCTTAGGAGCATTTTATTTCTTGACGTTCATTTGATAAAGTCCTTTGCATAACTTTATATCTGACACTTCGAACTTCATAGCCGCCGTCATTGCGAGGACTCAGGCGTACAGGCTCGGACAGTATGTTGACTTTACGATTTATAGATTTGACTCTCAGTATGTAAAACATAGTTATGTATTTTTGTTTTCTTTTATTAATGGCTATACGTAATATTGGTGTCTAAAAAGAAACATCCTGTTAATATATCAAACACTTTTCTTGATAATAGAGACTGTATAGAAATCTTAATGGTTCCATAGCCATTATTATGCAAGATGCAGAATATATCTCGATGTAGTCATAGTGATTGACCTGTCAATATACTTCCAAGTGTTCTTAAAGTTATTTGGGTATTAGCAAGTTTCATAGACGTATACAGTTGTAGAAAATATGTATGCGGTCACAATTTAGAGTGTCTGTACAGGTTTATCAACCAAATGCTTTTTGAGGAACATCAATGATTAATTTCAGGAAGAAAAGAATCAATAGATTATCTGAAGATGTCTCGGTCACGGCAAGATTAGAAAGCAAGTCGCTATAGTTAATGGTGACATATTCTACATCCCTGTCATCCATTGTGTCACATCCCTCGTCAAACGGCTTGGTAGAAGATACATCTATAGACGTTTCTTGTAAATCATCTTCGAAACTGTTTGTTGGTGATTCTTGAGGATTTTGGTCCGTTCCTTCACTCACTTCCTCCCTGTGGTTCTTGAAGGACTTGTCCTCTTCAGGAGGTTGATCACTGGTTGAAGTAGTCGTCCGTGTCTTTGTCTGTCCTCCTAAAGACCCTTCCGCTTCAACTTCTCCCTGAGGGTCTTCAGGTCCAGTTGCTCCTCCTTTTTGTAGTGACAGAAAGTACAAATATTGACATCGGTGTTATTTGATACAAATCTTAAAATGTTATTCTATTTTCCCCTAATTTGGGCTAATATCAACAAATGTGACCAGAACACCCACCTCATAATGAATTTTGTCAAAGTAGATTCACAGATCTTACCATACCAACGCGTTTTGAGGATATCATAACATGTATGTGTTGGAACTTATTTAAGCGTTTCCTGTCGAAAACCGATCATTTAAATGAAAGGCATATCTTCTTTATACTATTTGATAATCCTTATTCCAGTATTGTCTAATGATAACTTTTTATTTAATTCTTAGTGTACAGTTGGTAAGTTTCTCACCATAGAGCATATCATCGGATGAGCCATGTACACCATCAGTGGTGTGGTTTGATACCTCTTCAGAAAGTTGGTCTGTGCATTCATTCGCCACATCTCCGTGGTTCTTGCCGGACTGGTCGTGTGCAAGTGGTTGATCAGTGTCTGCAGTAGTCTCTCGTGACTTGGTTTGTCTTTCTGACGACCCTAGCGTTGCAGATATACTACCTATCCCGAATAGCTGTTGAGAACCCTCTATTCTATGAGAGTGTTCTGGTCCAGCTTCTCTTCCTGCTTTTTGGAGATAGTTAATATTAAGAGACTAGCTTCAGTGCTCTTCAACACGAGCTGGTACAGAATAAATGATAGCAATTATCCTTTGAGTGGACCCCCCCCCCCGGAAAAAGAAAATCAACTTGCAAAATTAAATTAAATGAAAGTGAGGTAAAACAATCTGACAAACGACATAATGACACACATACAAACATAAACCTGTATGCTTACTTGCTTAAGTCGGGTCAACTGCCCGAGCTGTGATGGCCATCCACACATTCCTGTCCAGCATGGCTGCTTTTATCTCTGACAGTTCAAGTCCCGTATCCTTCTTGAGTAGGTCTGTATAAGTAAGATGAGGTCTTCCAGGTTTCCTCTTCCCGTGTTTAGGCTTCCAGAGTATAAGCTGAGATATTGGTTCATTGATGTTCCTACAGCTGTGTCCTGCAAAACGTAGTCTTCTTTTTTTGATCTTTTCTGATACTTTTGGTAGATCCTTCCCGTACAGCTCTTTATTGGTCATATGCTGGTTCCAGTGCACGTTGAATGCTGTCCTAAGAAGTCTGGTGTAGCAACCATCTAATTCTTTTGCCAGCTTTGTTGTAACTGCCCATGCTTCGCAGCCGTATAGAAGCACAGATTCAACTGTAGCAACAAACAAACGTTGTTTGAACTGCCTAGGAAGAGAAGATTTCCAGATTCTTCCAAGCTTGCTACACGCTCTCCATGCTGCTGACTTACGAGCTTTCACATCTTTTTCTGTGCTCACCATCAATGCTCCCAGGTACTTGAAATCAGGTACATTCTCCAACTGAATTTCATCATTTGTTTTTATAGTGATGATCCCCCTGTGATTGAATGACATGAACTTGGTTTTGCCTGAATTCATCCGGAGCCCGACCTTGCCTACCGATGTCTCCACCCTGCTCAGCAGTTTTTGGGCTTGCTCTAATTCCTCAGATAGCAGGGCTATGTCATCAGCGAAATCTAGGTCTGTTATGATTTCCGGACCAACTCTCCTACTTCTCCTTCTTTCTAGTTGGAATCCAAGTTCTTCTTCATGGCCGTCTATAGCTGCTCGCAAGGCATAATCGAGGACTATTACAAATAGGTAAGGTGCAAGCGTGTCACCTTGAAGCACACCAGCCATGATTTCAAAGAGGTCAGTCTCTCCATCAGGTGATATTACTTTTGCTTTGGTGTCTTCGTACATCTTGCCAATAGCATTCACCAGTTGTTCCGGTATGCCATATGCAGTAAGGATCTTCAACATCTTGCCTCTGTGGATGGTATCGAAGGCTTTGCGAAAGTCAATAAATGTGATAATAGCCGGGAGCTGATTTTCTTTTACTCCTTCTATAAGCCTGCGAAGTGCCAAAATATGTCCCACTGTGGTCCTTCCAACTCTGAATCCATTTTGGTTGGTTCTCAGGTGACTATCAAGTACAGGTCTGATCCTGTTCAAAATCAATCTATTGAAAGTTTTGGCCACGATGGAGCTTAGACTGATTCCTCGATAGTTTCCTCCTTGGCTCAGGTCTCCAGACTTTGGTATTGGTACAATGTTCAGTATGGACCATTGGTGGGGCTTTTCTTCATTGATCAGTGCGTTGTTGCAGAAACTCAGAATTATTTCATCCAGGTCACATCTTTTTAGAACCTCTGGTGGTATGCCATCTTCCCCAAAGCTCTTCCCTTCTACTAGTGACTTTATTGCCTTTGAATATTCTTTACGATCAAATGGCCCTGTCTTGATGTTCAGACTCTCTAGTATAGGCAGAATTTCTTCATCCTCATCATCTATATCAGGAGGGCTTCCGAGAAGATTCTTGAAGTGGTTGAACCAGTTTATGACCCTGTCTTTCTGTGTGTCTCCTTTTAACTGCCCTTTCGGGGATGCTTTCCTTCCGGTTATGTCATTTATGAGTCTCCAGCTCTGCCCATGTTTACTGTTGGCATGCGCTCTCTCCACATCTTTTAGTTTACTATCAAGATCTTCTTCTATAACTACATTGTATGCTTCCTCAAGGTTGTGCTTGGCTTGCTTGTAGATCTGCCGATTTTCATCAGTTGTATCTTTCTGGTACTCCATGTAGGCTTTATTGATCTTATTTCTAGCACTGATTACACGTGTATCGTTGGGAAAATGCAACTTTCTTGTCTTCTTTTTCACTGGGATAACTTTCTCAGTAACCTCCTTATGTGCTGTTATGAATCGCTCATACCTCTCGGTAGCCGATTCTTCCTCCTTCTCTAGGGGCTGGAACCTGTTGCGGACTTCAATGCTGTATAGCTTCTGAAGGTGGTTGTCAGTGCTGAGAAGTTTCCAATCGTGCTGTTTTCCTTTTGCCAAGGTTTTGCTCTTTCGAAGGCTCAAACGGACTCTTGCAGATACTATTCTATGGTCGGATCCTACACTGGCAAAAGTACTATACGCCTCGACATTATTCAAGCTGTTCCTCCACTTTTTCCTTATTAGTATATAATCCAGTTGGCATTTACTTCCACATGGGCTAATATAGGTCCACAATTTCCCTTTCTTCTTACAGTACTGACCACTTGCTATAACTAGGTTCTTTTCAACTGCCATGTCCACTAAGTACTTTCCATTTCTGTTGGTTGTTTCATGGTAAGTGTATTTAGCATCCTCAGGTCCAATTCTGGCATTGAAGTCTCCAACCACAAGAAGAACATTGTGTGCTGGTACGGAGTCAATTGCTCTTCTTAAATTGTCATAGTGTCCTTCAATGATATCCTCGTTCACTACGTTGGTTGGGCAATAAGTTGTAATGACTGTAGTTGCAGGGTTTCCTTGAAAGTTTGCGACGAGTATTCGGTCAGAATGTGATCTCATGCTAGCTAGGGAGTCATATGCACTGGGACTTAGTATTAATCCCACACCTCCTATTGCAGCTCCGGCTGAACTTCTGTTTGCAGATGATGTTATAAGCATGTTGTTTAGAACTTTCTCATATCTGATAGGCTCATTATGTACTATTCGATGTTCTTGTACTCCCAAAATATCAATGTTCTGCGCTGTTAAATTGGTTGATAGCTCTTCTCTATTTCTTTGCTCCCTAATAGTTCTCACATTCATAGTTGATACAATTACTGTCTTTCTACATCTTAAAAATGGTCGTCCTTTACAGACACCATCATCAGATTTACCCCTTCCATAAGGCTTTGAGGGCAAACCGTCATGAGATTCTAAGGAATCGATGCCTGATCCAGGACATGTTGTGTTAGGGACTTTAACCCTAGTGTTGTTAGGTTGTGCCATCATAGTTTTTCATTTGCTTATAATATCTGTGGTTGCAACTCCTACAGTATGGTTTAGTTCTAAAAGCTGTCATGAGTTTTCCTTCTCTATTGACATTGTGAATGAATTCACTGATAAAGCAAGAGGAGAACTCTTACTGGTTTCACGCTAGGGTTTTCCTTCCCAGACTCATCCCCCGTCGGTTTCCCCAGGCCACAAAGCGGACCCGAGTTATCCAGCCGGCACCAGCGTGGAGGTGGGAGTTTGAGTTGCTAGTAGAGAGGCGATTATGGACTCATGGGCTTAGATGTTAGTTGCCAGAGTACAAACGGCAGCAGAGAGGTAGAATGAGAGGTAGGATATAGAAGAGGAAAGATGATAGCTTACATGCAGAAGGAAGGTAAGGGCATGCAGGGAAGAAATGGAAGGGTGAAATGATAGCAAAGCACGCTAACCGAAGTTGCGCATCTAAAAGCCATTTACCGACCAAACCTGTATATCCTGTATAATCATGCGACATGTAAACTTTTCAAGTGGCATTACCAGGCAGATGAAAACAGAGAATTATCATTATAATGACTGCTTTAATAACGATACGTTGTCCTTGGTTCTGATTATGTAGAAAGGAGACATAGAGTAGAAATTAATTACAGATTTTTATTAGTATCACGAATTAAATGAATTTATTAAAATAATTTCATGGTGACCTTACCTTGTGGAAAATAATGGTCAGCAAGGTCTAACAACTTTGCAGCCACAAGCGCCCTCCTTAGTTCAATCCGTTCATCTTCTCGGGAAACACCTTCTCTCCATTGTATCAGCATGAGATGGGTTCCTCTACTGGTGACCTGTTCGTATCTCATGTTGGTCTTGAGAGCTCTCGCTATGTCACCCTGTATAATTCCTAACTGACTACCCAAGCTATCGATGTTGGCCTCTTCGTAAAGATCATCGGCTATCTGCTTCAAGATGGTCGCAAACTCATCATTGGATAGTTTCGCCCTGAATTGTATGAACAAATTAGACATATTAGAGGGCACATTTCCTATTGATTTGGCATATACAGGTATATAAATTATATTTAATAAACGTGTCATGAAATAAATACGCGAAACCACCCACAATATGTTATGATAGAAATATCCACACACAAAATAAGTTCAATACGTGGTTTCGTTTGCAGAAGGATGTCCCAACATTGACAGATGTATAATATGATGTAACACACATATTAAAGAAGAATACAAATTAGAAGTAGACGAAGAAGTAGTAGGAGAAGAATAAGGAAAAGAAGCAAAAAGTTATGAGGGGAAGGTAAAAGAAGAAGAGGAATAATGAGGAGGATTTAGGAAGAGAATAAGAAGAACAAGATAAGAAGAAGAAGAAGGAGTGGAAGAAGGTGAAGAAGGAGGAGAAAAAGAAGGAAAATAAAAAAGAAAGATAGGAAAAAAGTGAAGAGGAAGAGAATCATAAAGATCATGAAGAACAATATTGAATAAAAGGGAGTTGGAGGAGAAAAACGAGAAGAAGTTATGTTCAATGTGATTTAAAGTTGATGTTTCGAATTTTGAGCTAAAATATACCATGATGACTAAAATGGTTAAAAAGCACTATTGTTAGAAATCAGTGTAGTAAACTGGCAACTGCTGATTTTCAGAGAACTTTATGCTATCATAAACGCGAACAAAAAGTTTAACTACAAAAGTTTCAACTTACTCAGCTTTTGATGCATTGCTCCCTTCTGATGAACAGACTTCTCCCCTTGAATGATCTTCAGAGGAAGTTATTCCCGTCATGAATGTAAAACGAATCGATTTGATTGAATTAATTAAGTTATACAAAAGGAACATTTTATATTCCCAAATCGGCTGTGGTATTCTGGCAGTAAAGTAAAAATTTATGATTAAATTATAATTAAAACTAAAATAATAGAATTGTAACATCACACAATATTAATGCATTACAAATCATACATTAAGTTTTTTTGTCAACTCCCCGGGCTATGTTTAGAATTGTTTTAGTTAAAGACAGTTTAACAGTGTTCATGATAAGATAGAATAAAAGTGATAGATTGTATTGTATATATTTTTTAAAGGCTGAAAAGAAAAAAACTTAATCTCAAGTAATTGACATGCTAGAGTGAAGAAACTCTTTAAAAAATAATGCAAAACGGTCTCACCGTCCTGAATTTGTTTTCTAGGAGTCACCCAGCGAATGAAACTCCATTGACGTGTCTCTGCTTTCTTCTTCCGCCCTGCTGATCGTATCTCACTTTCTAGTTGAATTTTAGTTCTCAGCTTCCAGTTCTCACGCTCAAGCTGTTTATTATAATCAAGCTCCTTCTTCCAGCTTAATTCTCCTGACCGTTTGTCCTTCTCACATTGCACTCTGTCTCTCTCTCTTTCTTTTCTGAGCTCTTCAACTTGCTGTCTTCGTGTCGTCTCATTTCGCTCTCTCTCCTCTACGATTTCTGTCAAATTGTCTACGTGTTGTTGCTTAGACTCGAGTTTCTTCGTCATTTCTGCTGCCAAGGAGTGCCTCTCTTTCTCTGATCTCGCTCTTTCGTCGTCCGTTTCGGTCTGTAGTCGCTCGACGTCACGTCTTGCCGTCTCCTCTGTATTCTGTAATTTGTCTTCCAATGTTCTGATGCGCAGCTCTTTTGATTTAAGTTTCTCCTTCAGCTCTAGCTCTAGTTGTTTGTATATCGACATATCGCGCTTTGCAACTTTCTCACTTCTACTCAAATTCATTTCAACTTGCTTTCGCTTTTCTTTTTCGCGTACCATCTCGCTCATAAGTATTGCATTGTCGTTGACAAGGCTTTCATGACTTGCTAAGGATTCTTCATATTTCTGTTCAATGCCCTTAATTTCGTACTGTAGTGACCTCTTTTCCTGTTTTACGTTTTGGACTTCTTTAAACATCGTCTGGTTTGGTTCTTCTGCCTCTTTCTTGGTTTCGTCATAGAGCAACTCACACGGATTCGTGTATACGTTCTCCAGTTCATTAATTGCTAACGCTCTGTCACCTTCTTGAAGGCATCCATGTATTAGGTCAAGCCACTGCAACTGATCCTCATCTGAGAGAATGTGATCATCCAGATCTACTTCGTAAATATCAGTGATCCCGAGATGATTCAAATCAGTTTTCGCTTTTTCGATGGCTTCACGTCTCCCGGTAGAGCGTATGGCACAGAGAGGGACGCAACCTATCCATTCGAAACATATGCAATGAGTGATATAGAAATTAAATCCAAAGTGACGATGATGTTTTGACTTCTTTTTAACATAAATACGTCGCCTTATCTCCTTTTTTTTTGGGGGGGGTGTGTACTTTGACATAAAATAATGGAGAATATCTGCAATGCTTCATTCATCTCTGTTGTGTTGTACAAAACTCTCCTTAATTGTTGTGTGGCATCACTATGAGTATACCGCCATATTTGAATTATTAATAGAATGGACTAAATTGAATTCGAGAAGCAGGGAGCAATATAGGGTAAAAAGACGACAGAGGAGATAAAACGAGCATTACACCTAGAGAGTCAGGAGATATAAATCTACATATGTGACAATGAAAAATAAATGTAGCATTCATGGTAGGGAAATGACTTGGGACAATCGGGAAACAACAGCCTAATGGCATTGTTTATGATATCGTTAGATTATAACGACTGCGATCGACAAATATAAAATCGTGTCTTTTTTTTTGTCATCGTTGGCTTTTGATTGTCCTTATGTAGTTTACAAAAGCCCATGGTTAGAGCAGTAACGTCGATCATGTCAATACAGGGCGAAATACGTCTTTTGTGTGAATAGTATAATATGAAATATTGATACAGACAACTTAGAAAAATACTTAAAATCAAGGTCATATTAATTGTAGAAAGTGCATATAATATGACATGAATAATAGTTGATCATCGTAGGTTTCTTGTCCTAGTCATAACTGATAAATGTATGCGCATGTAGGTGTCATTATCGTTACATACCTACCAAATTAATAGCACTGATAATAAGACCAACAAACGTCATTATATGTACACAAAAAAGCTCAACTTTCATTTATACAAAAGCTTCCCAAGTGAAGGTAAATAAGGTATCAAAAGACTAACTGTTTACGAATTCAAAATCTTATTTTCATGTGTTTAGTGTATATAATTATTGTCCTAACTATCATAATGGATTAGGATCAAACTTACCTGTTATCTTCTTTATCGTCTCGATAACATTAGGAAAAAACGGAAAATCCTTCGGGCTAAAGAAAACAAAAAGAAGACGATGGTACGATTCAGAATTATAATTATTCACGTGTTAATGAATCAAGTTTTAATGTATACAAATTGAATATAAATCGAGTTGGCCTCCCCAAACAAATTAGACCCCTCACACTAAAATAAATTGCATGTTTTTGTTATACACTACTGAAACAATTAAAGTACCCGCTCGAACATGCAACCTTAAACAAAGGCATTTTCTCACTCGGTCGCCAAGCTCCTTTCAAAAGTGATATTTCTTGCCCCCACAAGACAATAAACAGTTTCAAAGTAAACCTACCGTATTGTTTGTTCTCGAAAATGCAGTTTTAACCCTTCATAACCTAATTTCGTCTTTAATTGGACACTGTGCTCCCTTACACCCAAAATACGGCGGATGTTGCCAACACGCTTTCCAGAGGCGATAATATTGAGGTTGTGTATTTCCCTCTAGTTAATGGTCATTTAAAAAGTGTTTCCCCCCTATGCGATACATTGTTCTGCAGTATAACGGATAACTCTTATCGCTAGTAATTTGAAAATATGACACTTCAACATAAGATTATCTGACTTCTTGTTAGTTTGTTCAAATTGCATGTACTGATAAACGATTTTGACCCCCCTAATGAGTTTTCTAATTCTAAAGTCGACATTTTCTCGCTCGGCCACTAAGCTCATTCCCTAATCAATCGCTGCAGTAGTACTTTTACGTTACATATACACTATCGAATAGACCCCCAAAATAAGGGATAAGGGCTAATCTTTATAAAAAAAAAATAAAAGGAGGATTATTTTTCCTTCGCCTCGCTTGCAATTGTAAATGATGAAATTACACTCATTTTGTTCCTTCATCTAATTGGAAATTAGTGCTAAAAAAAGGATTTTCAAAAATCACAATTCGGTTGTGTTTTTCTTCCTCGCTTTGTCTCTACGCTCTGGTGCAAACTAACATGCTATCAAAGATGCACGTTGTACGCTAAGGAAAGTGCAGTAAGGGGGTGTTCCCGGCAAGCGAAACGATATTTTTGAACACGTAATTCAATACATTTAAATGTTCATTATGTACATTTAGTGCACCTGGTTGCTACACAACTTGCATTTTAATATATTATACAACTTCTTATTAGCGTTTCAATCCAAAAAAGGGGGTAGCCCTATCTGCTGAGGTTTGCATATGCTCAATCTGGTTCTAGGACGCCTACCCCCTGGACATCCACCCCCGGATAACCACCCGCAGTCAACTACCCTCTAGGACAAATACCCCCTAGGGCAACCACCCTCTAGGACGACTAACCTCTGGGACAACTACCCTGGGCAACTACCCCCAGTTAACTAACCCCTAGGACAACTACCCCCGGACAACTAACCCCCGGACAACTACCATCCGGACAACTACCCCAAAACAACAAACTCCTACGACAACCATCCTCTAGGAAAACTACCCCCGGACAACTATCCTAGGGGTTGTTTCCCGGGGTATTTGTCCTAAGGGGTAGTTGTCTTGGGGTAGTTGTCCGGGGATAGTTGTCCTAGGGGTAGTTCTCCTAGGGGTAGTTTTCCCAGTGGGTAGTTTTCCGGTGGGTAGTTGTCTCGGGGGTAGTTGTCCTAGGGTTGTTTATCTGGGGGTGGATGTCCAGGGGTAGGTGTCCGGATACGGCTCAATCTCATTATCAAAACTTTGAAATTCGCTGTGACCTATCTGTGCGTGCAAAGATAACCTTTATTAAAATTTACTACTGTAACATTGACATAGAAGCGTGTGTGTGTTTTTTTTTCGTTCAGTCGCTAAGATCCGGATAATTTTTCCTTGTGTGTTTTTTAAAAGTTGCTCAAGATTTGTTATGCTTTGTTTAAAAACTATGATGTCGAGAAGCTGTTTGAACATAATGAATATAAAGAATATGGGAACTGAAGTCGTTATCCTTACCCTCCCCCTCCCCTTCCGGCCCCTCTCTCTCTCTCTCTCTCTCTCTCTTTTCTTTAACTCTGTCTCCATTTCCTCGTTATTGTTTAATGTGACGTAAATCAATATTCATATTTCAGTTTCTTTAGCGTATCTCCTGTCCAATATCCCATTCCTTTGTCAATCTACTTATATGTCTCTTTCTCTATGTTTGACCCCACCCCCGGTCACTGTGGCGGATCCAGGGTCCCCTGGCCCCAAAACAAGTAAAACACATTTATTTGTTACCTTTTTTGTGGGAAAACAAGAAGACGAGCCCCCTCCCCTGTCAATTTTGTTGTGCTCAAGGGTGGGGTGAGGGTGGGGGTGGTGAGTTTTAAAAAAAATAGCACTTTCCCTCCTCCCTCCTTATCAAATAAGTAGCAGAAAGAGGAAGATCTAAACTTTACCAATATGTGTCATTTGTTAATTATAATTGTGATAAAGTTATGATAAAAAAAATCGATAATTCTCGGTTTCGTTTTTTCTTGGACGCACTGTAATCAGTTTTGTTTATAATATTAATCGAACTCTTTTGAAAATAGGATTTCGGGAACCTGTAGTGACACAATTGTAAAGGGAATATGCGTTTATGGTAGTTGATGGTGTCAGTAATTGATTCATTACTCAATCAATCATTTTCACTTGTTTCTTATTAAGCGTGTTTGCATAATACCAATCAAACGAGTACCCATTTTTTCTTCTTGGCGACTTACAATTTCAAAATTGCGATAAATCAGTCTAATGCTTGATTTCAGTCAAAATAAATATGTGAATATGGACAAAGAAAATATTAATACTGACTTCACCAACAGCACCTGACATCCAGCCTTCCCAGTAAGGTCTTGTGCAGCTTCTTCGAAATCGAGCCAACTGTCTGTAAAAAAGAACGGGGTTGATGCAATTTGCATGATGGACATCTAAGATACTATGAACATGTTTTTTAAAGATTTTTTTAAAACAAATACAAGTTGTGTGGTACTAATTGGATGCAATATGCATGCATAACACGAATTAATTAACTGCTTGTGCAATAACATTTTAGGGAACCATGACAAACAAATTTTGTGGTAACAAAAACATTGAGCATAAAGCGTTTAATGAAGAGAATCATACACTGATATATAGTATGGGGAAGCCCATGGGAGTAATGATTAATCTATGAATATATGTGGGCATAAAAGTGTAATGCCATTTAAGAATTAGAAGAAATAGAAATACCAGAATAGCAACAGCAACATTCGGATGTTTGAGCTTCATAATATTAAACACGTCTTCGAGAAATGCTTGTTTTTAATTTAATTTATTCACCACTTTCATAAAAACATGCACAGTCAAATAATTGATCACAAGACATAACAATTGAAAATCCACTAAAGAAAATTAAGAAATGGTTGGATCCTCAAAAAATTTCAGAAACTCATAGGAAGATGATCGAAATGCTTTATCTGAATTTCAATGTTCATAGTGACTTCTCTGATGGTGATACAATATGTGAATCTGTATTTATTAAAATTTCACGGGATAAAAAAGTCCATAATTTTTGTATGCTTATACAGAGCTCCAAATACTGATATTACTCATCTTCATGCTAGAGTTGACAAACACGTCAATTATGTAAAATTGTTAGTGTGAGAAGAAAAAACTTTATCTTCTCGGTGACTTATAAGCTTGCTCAATTATGACTCTGATAACAAAACCAGTGACTTTTTTAACATTATATTTTCATATGACTTACTTCCATTTATAATAAAGCCTAATCGTACAGCGAATATCACAGCGACATTAATTGAAAACAATTTCACAAATGCTATCCCAGTTAATGTGAAACATGGCGTGATCTATCCAGACATATTTGATCATTTTCAAATTGTTTGTATCAATACTGGTACACCTATATACTGTTAAAAAGGATGATATTCCTTTAAGGTTGATTAATCACGAGAGAATATCTCAATCTAAAGAAAACATCAACGACATAGATTGAAGTGAAGGAAGATGTTAACCTTTCCTAGAACTTAGGGTTTATGAATTACTTATATGATAGGGAACAGTATGTGGTGGTCAATGGTGGCTGATCTCAGTCTTGCTCAATGTTTTATGAAATTCCTAAAAGGAGTATATTGGACCCCCTCATTTATCCCATCTATATAAATGATATTGCTCATTCTACCAGGCTATTTGATTATTCTTTGTTTGCTGATTGCACTAGTGCCATTGTGTCTCATAGCAACAAACATGAATTGATGTCATTAGCAAACAAGGAAATTTATAAACTCTACTTATGGTTAAGTAGTAATACATTATCTGTAAATCTTGACAAAACTAATCATATCATGTATAGATCAAGGAACAAGAGGGTTCCCCACAACATAAACCCATCAATAATTGGTGGAAGTCTTGTGAACAAAGTGGAAAATGTTAATATCTTGGAGTAATGTTGAATGAGCTTTTATTTTTGAAACCTCAAATTGACAATACTTAATGTTGCATTATCTAGGTGAAAATACTTTTTTTACCACATAATATTCGTACATATAGAACAGTATAATATTGCCTCACCTAATTTATTGTAATATTAGATAGCTTACACAGATACCGAGATGTGATTGGTCCAGAACTCATCATGTAATATCGATTGCGAGGATCGTAATTGTCATATTACCCTGGCTGGTCACTTTAGATGGTTATATTGACCAGCTGGTGATATTAATATATTTTTAATCAATGCATGTCGCCCTCGTGATAATCCCAATGTGGTAATCTGACGTTTGACCATGTTCGAAAACGCGTTTCTGCAATTTACATACACACTTTCATGATCATGTAAAATACCCTACTAGGTACTCTCCAAACTAATTGCAACAGGCGAGTAAAAAAAAAAAGATTTTATGATTTCAGGATAAGGGAATAGTCTCATTTTGGAGGCTTAGTTTCATTTACATTTCAACAAACACAAATTATTCAACGTTGCATGTTATTTTAATATACGAACCAAAACGACTTCTTATGATGACAGATATAGAATCGGTGAGGTATTCCTCCTGATCATCTGTAGATGTTTCACACTTATCAGCAATCTTGCTCGCCTCTACGTCTCCATGAAGAGCGCGTCTGATCAAGGCGGGGAGTGTATCAGGAGCACATCCGTACGGATATATTATACCAATGACAAGCTTATCAGGAAACACCACTCGTTCATCATCACAAGGTACAGCCTTTCCTGGTTTGTACGACAAGATTTTATGTCGTAATTTATCATTCCTATTCCTAATCTCAAACCTGGAAGTAGCCATTTTCTGTTCACATGTCGTCCGGAGTACTCGAACCGAAACGTTACACGCTTAATAGCATACACAGTCGTCCTATTCTTTCTATGTAAACATGTTGCACAGTAAAGTTATTGTATGGTGTATGGAATTTGCTATTTATAATGCACAAAAGGAGGAACGGATGAGGAATTTCAATCAAATATCAACAGACTTTGGACTTAAGTTACGAAACACAAGTCATTGTTTGAATCACACAATCTGTCCACCGCCCATATGCATAAGCACAAATATTACAATTAAATGGTCATTCTTTCCATGTTAACGTTGGAAGCACAATATTCCACGATAGTGCCTGTCCATTCTGTTAATGTTTGAGCCTACCATCATACGTAATCTTATAATATAGATGTGGCTAGTTCTTCGTATGCATCTGTAACCAGGTGACTGATTTTAAAGATAAGCCGTACACCCCCAAGCTTTTGCCACATAAAATACTGTATTTCACATAACGCACGTTATGCAAATAGCTTCAACACTTGACCCCCCCCCCCCTTCATTATTTTGTTAACACCATACATTAATTAAATCCTCTGGCTTTGTTCCTGTTAATAATTTCAAAAAACTATGAACTCGTGAACCCGATAGACTTCTCGTAGTTCGTGCCAAGAGTTTCACCAATATACATCTCTTTTGTGCCTATTATTTTTACAGGTATATTTTCATATTTGATATCATACTTATTTTAAAGTAAATCATATTACCATGTTATATAACTTTTTGCGATTGTATACTGATGTATGCATGTGTTTGTTAGGTTTTGTAAATAAAATTATTTTCGGGGAAGAAATTCGAGTTGAGAAAATTGATTTTTCTCACAAGTTAGTGGAGTGTTAAAGTTACAGGTGAATGGTACCCGCGAGTGTATATTCGTATCGGTCATTTACAACTTGAGGGAAGAAATAATATCATATTTCGCATTGTAGATAACTTATTCTCTTTTTAACTAAAATAATAACTCTAATCAATATTTTCTTGTTCATGAACCACTAAATTGATTCCTAACGACTCAGCCAGCCGCTGAATAAGCGGAGGGGGGGGGGGGGGTAGCTCCAAACCCCCACCCCCACCCCCCCCCCTCCTTGCGTACGCGCCTGGTCGTATTACATGACATTCGGAAAATCGAGATCAAAGCAGGGGAAGACATTTAAATCAGTTGATTTAAATCACCAACTCACGCATGCAGAATGTAGCCTTTTTAAAGTGCACCAACCTGTTGATTTGCCAATTTGATGAGTGTATATATCGCATTGTACACAAACAACCACTGTACCATGCACACGTCATGCACGATTAAGTGTGTTGTGTATCATTATGATAATACGTACCACTTACATAGCGCAATTCCTGTCCTAAGACATATCAGTGCGCTTTGCATATATAACATAGTATAACATGACATAAAGAGATACTGCTTAAACAAGAAATATAGATTTACCGTAACATTTATATCCCATACACAGTTTTACCTATATACTTTTACTATTTGAATAACAATTACAATGATCGGAGGCGGCCCTCCCGGGGGGCAGGGGGGCGCAGTGCCCCCCCCCCACTTTTTCAGATACCCCAAAAGTGCCCCTTTTTACATAGGAAAAGTGCCCCTTGTATTTTGTAAGAAGTGCCCCTTTTACTTTGACAAGTGCCCCTATTACTTAGTAAAAGTGCCCCTTCCCCCTTTTCACCTCTAACGAGTACCCTTTTTATTTTTGACACGTGCCCCTTTTCCTTCGACATGTTCCCATTTTCCTTTGCAATAAGTGTCCATGTTCCATTCTCATAAATCTTGAAATTATATTGAATAAGTGCCCTTTTTATTCTCTAGTAAGTGCCTCTTTTCAGGTACGAGAAGTGCCCCTTTTCACTTTTAATAAGTGCCCCCTTCACCTCTGATAATTGCCCTATTCAAAACTGAGAGGTGCTCCTTTTACTTTGACAACATCCCCTTTTTTCCTTTGTAAGAAGTGCCCCTTCTCCTTTTAATAACTACCCCTTTTTAAACTCGGATGAGCACACCTTTCATTTTAACATGTGCCCCTCTTATTTTCTAATAAGTACCCCTTTTCCTTATGATAAGTGCCCCCATTAAAAAGAGAGAGAGCTCCTTCCCCTTCTCATAACTACCCTTTTCCCTTTCTAATAAGTGCCCCTTTTTCCTTATGATAAGTGCCCCCATTAAAAAGAAAGAGCTCCTTCCCCTTCTCATAACTGCCCCTTTTAAAAATCTGAACGGTGCCCCCTTTTCATTCAACAAATGCACATTTTCCTTTATTATAAGTGCCCCTTTTACATTTTCATAAGTGCCCCTTTTCATATCTGGTCAGTGCCCCTTTTCAACTCTGATAATTCCCCTTTTAATAATGATAAGTGCCCCTTTTCCTTTCTAATAAGGGACCTATCCACTTTTCACCTCTTATAAATGCCCCTATCAAAATCTGATGGGTGCCCCTTTTCCGTCAACAAATGCCTTTTTACCATTTTCATAAACGCCTCTTTTTCATCACTGGTGAGTGCCTCTTTTCAGGTGAAAAAATGCCTCATTTTCACCTCTTATAATTATCCTTTGTACTTTGACACGTGCTCCTTTTCTTTTCTAATAACTGTCTAATATCCCTTTCGATAATTCTTCGCTGTTTTCACGAAGTGACGGTAGTGAAAAAAAATTGCATTCACTTTGCGTTACGATTTTCCTCACTACCGTCACTTCGTGAAAACAAGGACGAATTGTCCCCTTTTCATGTAATTATTAAACGTGCCCCTTATTTAAGCGACTAAGAGCAATTTCCCCCAAAGTTCACTCGCTGCGCTCGCTCGCATTTAAAGATGATATAATTATGTTACTTATCAAAGGTCTTTTCAGTCTTCCGTTATGAGAATGTGCTTATAACCCCATCACGATTGGCTTTTTTCCTCTGTATAAGATGTAATTTTTCGCACTGCGACCTCACAGATCTTTAAAATTTTTCTCGCTCGCTTCGCTCGCTTGTAAATGCATATTCAGACATCACACCCAACTGTAAAGTATGATGCTTAAGCGATATCTTGTATGGTGTATGAAGAGAAACAAATATTGAAATCATCCCTGATAATGTAATCACAATGTAGGGGTATATACCAATGTCTAAAAAATTGTATATTTTCGCTTTGAGATTTCCCACTGTAGGTGCCCTTTTTTTTTTCCAGAGAGTGCCCTTTTTTGTTGGTGCCCCCCCCCCCCCACTTTGGAAGTCGCTCAGCCGCCCCTGACAATGATCTATAAGGGTAGCGGAGGACAGTGAATTGAAACGCGACACAATCTCTCTTTCTTTGTTTGTTTGCCTTCGCAAAGAATTATATGGGGCGGAAAAAAATTGCTTGTCACAGGGTTATTTCACTTGTTGTCATTCAGAAGTTCCATTTGGGGAAAACAAATATGAGTTACCGTCTACCCCCCCTCTCTCTCTCTCTCTCTCCCTCTCTCTTTTTTTCTCTCTTCATATTCATATATATCCCTCTCTGTTAGTTTCTTTATCGCAAATTAATCCTTCCCTCTTATACTTTGCTCGAACATATCTTTATCTTATCATTTGATTGAACTCTGAAATATAACCAGCCTCCTTTGCATGATTCATGCAGATATTTTGCCTCATATTCTTTTATCAAAATTCATTCCTCATCTGTAGATATATTTACTAGTTCAATTTTAATAACCCAGTTCAGAGGTTTTCATCTGCACATGAAAAAATGCCATGAAGGTTGTAGAAAAACTGTAACAACTCATTCAGACAAATGCTGAATATATATTTATGAAATTAAAGTAATCAATATTCATTCATACAACGACTGCATATCATGTGATGTACACGTGAATATATATCTTCCAGATGGCAAAAATAAAGGTATTCAAGAAGTACTGCCATGTCTATGCCAGTGATTATTCTGAAATGAACATAGTTGAATATTTGAGGTAATTGTACTATGTGCTTGTTTATAGAATTAGCAGTCTTTGCCAACACATACGTGTTGTCTTAAACATTTGAACAAGATTTTGATTGGTATTATCCTAAAAGGTATTCATATTTTTCAATTAAAATTCGTAGATCATATCACAATAATATAATATACATGTAATGTTAGTGTCGTAAAGATGTGGGGTAGAAGTGGAAATATAAATATGTTTTTGTAAAACGTAGCAAGTTTTTAAATGTTACAACAATAGTGCTCTCAATTGGATCGGTACAATAAGTAGATACCTGTCTTCTGAGCTTTTTGTGTCTGTCTTTAACATTAATTCAAATTTGTCTTCAAAAAGGAGTGTTGCAATTATTTTATAAACACAACCGTTATTTTTTTTAAATTTCTTATCGTTCATAGAAAATATAGAGTAGCAATTTCACATAAAATCATCCCCCCCCCCAAAAAAAAAAAAAAAAAAAAATTAAAAAAATGAACAAACCCAAGGGGAATTTTAACAATGTTCATAGATCTTATGATTATATAGTGGGTAAATGTTTGCTGGTATTGGTTTTTTTTGCCTTACGTTCATTGAATGGATATTTGAAGATTTACACACGTGAATCTTATTGAATGACATATAATGAGTCGAAGAAGAAAACAAAAATCAGTAACATCAAATCATATTGGATTATATTTTATTGCTTGTCGTATACATACAATTTTTTGCCTCATACATTTCCCTAACATTTTACAAATTAAACACCGATCTGAATAAAATATTTGATTGTTGACTACATTAATTCTTTTGTAAACCAACAAATCATATACAATGCATAAGCAACAGCTATACGTTTTTCGTGCACCGATTAAATTTAAGGAGCCTTTTTTAACTTTAGGAGAAAAGAAAATTCTTCTTACAAAAACTAGCAAACATTTTTAGTTTTGGCCCTCATCCTCATCAACTTCAAACACAGTTACACGTCAATATTCATCATACATCTCAATAACGATGAATAAATATTTATATAAAATATCTAAATCTAGCTTCTTCCTTTGTTATGTTTATTAAAACTACCCCATATGCACACTAAAGTGTGCATATCAAATACGATTTTGAAGACTCCTTTCGAGTTCCAGACGCATACGTAAGATTTTCACATTGAAAGCTAGACGTACACACCCAACGTAACACAGTAAAACGTGTAGCTTATACAAGTCACCAAATATCAATTACCCGTCTTGGAACACAAAGAGAAACTATTAGTCCAATAGACGATACCATATACCATGTACATGACCTGGAAAAGTACAAGGTGTTTTTTTGTTGATTTGTGTTCTAGATGGGATATTGAAGTAAATTCAGCTTGGTTGCCAGCTTGGCAACCTAGGGCAACTTTTGTAATAGCCATATTAGCATAATTATCTAATTAGCATATGTGCAATATGTAATAGTGTTGCTAATCTCAATCCAGGAAGCCTGAACACATGGATAATACGACTTTTCACGGGTTTTCTATAAGGAATACTTATCAACTTTTCCAGGTCTGAAAAAACTTCTACAGGACTATATGTATGTATACTTTATAACAAATAATATGCGTTTGCTTTGCCACTGTTATACAGGTATAAAATCAGTTTACATATTATCGTATGGGAATTATTTGTACCTGTAGTTACATAAATATATTGCAAATGCAGTCACTTTATTCTATAAGGTTTTTGGTTGTGGTGGTATATATAAGGTTAAAGATAGAGTACTTGCTAGCTCATATTGTCATTAAAAAATAGAAAATGTACAGCATACTAATAACGTGAGAAGCAATGACTTATATAATCATGAAAACATTATGCATAGACTAATTTATGATTCTACATTTCATTGGAAAGTTAGTCGTTTTTAACCTGTTTCTCCCAAAACATATCATCGCAGTTGCTTTATGCATGTGATACAAAATTTCCTCGGAGACTAAATCGAATTTGACATCTAAAGACTTTTTACGGTAAAACATAAACATAACCTTTTGATATCACAATGTAATATAACAACAATTTATTCCTTGGGAAACATTAAAACCAATATAAATTGAGAAACTTTCATGTATTATTAGTTCATGTCAAGCAAACTCTGTTAGCGTACACAGAATATTTGATATCCAATGCGTGCAGTCCTAACATGCTCATGTCACAATGTAATATAACAACAATATAATCAATGGGAAACACTAAGACCAGTATATAAAATCGAGAAACTTTTACGATGTATGAGTCGCGTTCAAGCAAACTCTTTTAGCGTACAGAGAGTATTTGATATTCAATGCATTTAGAACTATATACAATGGCAGACAGTAAAACCAATACAAATTGTATGTATTTTGAGTTCCTTCTATTAAACGTGTTTAGCATAGAGATATTATTCAATGTATTACAACTTATTTTTCTACAGAGAGTAAGTTAACTCTATACATTATGTACACATAGTGCATGGCATATATGTTAGAATAAGGTTTCTACGAGATATTGTTGCAGAATCTCATTTTCCTGATTTTTGATCGACGTCTATCGTGTTGCTCCAATTCCTCGATATTAATATTATACATTAAATTCCACCTCTTTATGTCCTTAAATTGCATATAAATTATGTCAGGTATTGAGATTTGCAGGTACAACGCTAACTTAACATAAACCTAATCAAGCCAAAAAAACATTCATTAAAAAAAAAGGAAATTAAAGTCTTCGTAGGATCTTTTTTTTTTATTAGCGTTCCTTTGCAAAGCTTTAAATCTAATTGCGAGGACTCAGACGTACGGGCGTACTACGTTGACTTTATATTCTTTGAATTTGATTCTCAGTTTGTCAAATATAGTTTGTTACAACTTTCTATGGTGAATACATAGCGAGTGTTATGTTTTTTGTTATGACACCAAGGTTTTGATTAGTAAAACAAATCGAATAGTCCATCAAACTATCTTGCACTTTTCTTGAGACGACAAAGGAAGCATAATGGTTCCATAGTCAGGATTAATCAAGATCCAGAATACATCTCGGTTGGTCAAACATTTTTTGGCGTCAAGTAACGCCTGGCTGGAATACTCCACAGGGAGTGAAGATTGTGCACACATTGTGTGCGGACAAGCATTGAATTCAATGACCGGGTAATAGTATATCTGTACAGCGCTTAGAGACGTCCGAGATGTATTAATCACTATATAATAGCTGAATATTATTATTATTATTATAGTCATAGTAATTGACATGACAATGTAAAGGTCAAATTTTGTAAAGGTCACTTGCGTATCAGATAAATGTATAAGCAAGTTAGACGTATGAACTTGTAAAAACTATGTATACATTCACAATAAAAGTTGTCTGTACATGTTTATCCACCAAATACCTTCAGAGGAATATCAATGATTACTTTCATTAACAAAATGATCAATAGTTTCTCCGAAGTTGTCTCGGTCGAGGCGAGATTAGAAAGCAAGTCGCTAGAGTTGATGGTGGTATATTCTACACCCCGTTCATCCGATGTGCTAGTTCCCTCAGCAAACGGCTCGTTAGATGACACATCTACGGATGTTTCTCGTACATCATCAGCGATATTGTTGATTGATGATTCTTCAGAATGTTGGTCCATGCCTTCACTCGCCTCCTCCCTTTGGTTCTTGGGTGACGTGTCGTCAAGAGCTTGGTGAGTTGTTGCTGTAGGCTTATTGGTCTTGTCCTGTCCTCCTGAGGACCCTGGTGCTTCTCCTATTTTCTGAAGGTGTTCTAGTCCTGTCAATCCTCCTACTTATTATAAATGAAAATTAATAAGATTAACGTCGGTGTTATTTGATACAAATCTTAGAATAATTTTAATTTCAACAAGTATGTCGACACCATATTTTCTAACGTTATCCATTATGATGAACTTCATCAACGTGTATTCATAAATCTCACCATAATAACGTGTTTTGAGGATATCATGATGTGTGTTCGTATTTGTTTTAGAGTTCCCTGTCGAAAATGTTCATTGAAATGAAACGCATATCATCTTTAGATCATTCGATAATCCTAAATCCCCTATTAATTAATGATAACATTTAATACTTAGTATACCCAGGGACCTGATAGAGAAGGACTGGAATCAAGCCGCTCTCCTTTGACCCCATGCTCCAAGCCGCCGAAAAGTTATGCGCTAACCTGCAACTGTTGACCAGGTGGTGAGATAAAAGAGCGCATGAAATTTCGGATTTAGAATTCCTACATCAGAAAATGGTATCACAGCAACTGTTTGCTGTCCCTTCCAATGATATCTCATCCATTGTTGAATGTGTAAAGAGTAGAACAAGCGAACACAAACTTGTGTAATTTCATCCTTTTTTAACTTGAAAAATACAAAAAACACGCGAAAACACGCATTAGCAAACGTAATGTTGTTGAAGATTGTAAATCATGGATCAAATAACGAGACATTAAAGTTTTTGTCAGGATGTAATTTTTCTTTTACCAACTCTGGCACACAAATTATAGGAAGGACGGAGTTCTAAATTTGAAAATTTGTTTGATGCACTATTCCCAATAAAATCCCCATATAAGTTTTTTGATTTACACTGCAATTTTGCCGGTAATTATTTATCTTGTAATAAGTGTAAAACTGGTGCCTGGCTTCCGAAAGTCCCCGCAGTGGAAGCGCGGTTCGGAGCATGGAACTTCAAAGCCAAGTGGAATGTTACACATCCCATTGTTACGCTTTAGAACTCACGAATGCGTTTGAATAAATTACAAGAGTTTCGACTCCTTTCTTTCACCTCCCTGGTATACCGTTGCTAAGTTTCTCACCATAGGGCTTGTCTTTGGATGTGTCATGTACACCAGCAGTGCTCTGGTTTGATAGTTCTTCAGAAAGTTGGTCCATCCATTCACTCGGCTCGTCCCCCTGGTTCTTGGATGACTGGTCGTGTAGACGAGATTGGCCAGTGGCTGCAGTAGTCTCCCGTGTCTTGGTTTGTCCACCTGAGGATCCTTGCGCTGATGGAGTGCTATCTATCCATAATAGCTGGTGAGAATCTGTCATTTTCTGAGGCTGTTCTGGTCCTGCTCCTTCTCCTGCTTTTTAAGAGATGATAAATATCAAGACTAGCATCAGTGCTCTTCAGCACGGGCTGGTCCAGAATGAACGATCGTATCCACTTAGTGACCCCCCCCCCCCAATTCAAGTCGAAACACTATACAACATTATATTAAAGTAAAACAATCTAACAAACGACATACAGACCAACAAACAAACATAAACCTGTATCCCATTATTCATGTTAACTTTTGAAGTGGGGATTTTCAGGCACATGAAAACAGAGATTTATCATGATTATGACGGCTTAACAATATGTTGTCCTTTGTCATAGTTAAAAATGTATTGCCGTTATTTATTAATTATATCACGAATTAAATCAAATTATTAAGCCAATTATATTATGACCTTACCTTGTGGTAAATAATGTACAGCAAGGTCTAACAACTTGGCAGCCACAAGCGCCCTCCTTAGTTCGTTCTGCTCATCTTCACTGGACACACCTTCTCTCCATTGTTTCAGCATGAGATGGGTTCCTCTACTGGTGATCTGTTCGTATCTCATGTTGGTCTTGAGAGCTCTTGCTATGTCACCCTGTAAAATTCCAAGCTGACTACCCAAGCTATCGATCTTGGCCTCATCGGAAAGATCGTCAGCTATCTGCTTCAAGATGTCTGCAAACTCATCATTGGGTAGTTCCCCACTGAGATAAATCAACATATCAGATAAAATAATGTGTTTTGGTTTTAATTACATATAAACATATATATATATACATAGTTATGTGATTGTGTCTGGGTGTGTGTGTGTTATGCAGAACAATGAACCACCGCCTGGTATATATGCGTGGGACTTTCTAAAAAAATGGGAATTTTCCTTTCAAGGAAATATTATGATCAAACACAAAGATTAAGAATTTAAAAAAGAAGGAGTAGAAAAAAAAGTGATGAGGTGGAGAAGGATGACGAACAAGAAGAACAAGAACAGGCAAAGGGAGTTGCAGGACAACAAGAAGAAGAAATGATGTTCAATGTGAATTCAAGTTTTTGTTGAAATTTTAAGCTAAAATACACCATACATGACTGAAATGATAAAGTGATATTTTGTAAACCAGTGTAGCAAATCGATAACAGCTGAATTGCATACTACCTCAAGCTATCATAAAAGCGAACAATTTGTTTAACTACAACTGTTTCAACCTACTCTGCTTTTGGTGCATTGCTCCTTTCTGATGAATAGACTTCTCCCCTGGAATTATCTTGAGAGGGAGTTATTCCTGTCCTGAATGTAAAACGAATCGATTTGAGTTATAAATAATGAACATTTTATTATCTCAAATCGGTTTTCGTATTTTTGCAGTAAAATTAAATTTTTCTTTAAAATATAAGTAAACTAGAATTATAGAATCATAACCTCACATAATAATGCATAACAAATGATAATTTGTTTTCAACTCCTCGGGCTATTTTTTAGATTTCCTTGAGTATTATGACAATTTAATAGTGTGCATGATAATATATACTAAATGTGATAGATTTGATTGAATATTAAACAAAGGCTGAAAAGAAGAAAAAAAGTTTAATCTCAAGGTATTGACATGCTAGAATGAAGAAAATCAAGAAAAATAGTGCAAAACAGTCTTACCATCCCGGGCCCATTTTCCAAGAGTCACCCAGCGTAATAATCTCCATTGAGGTGTCTCTGCTTTTTTCTTCTGCTCTGCTGATCGAATTTCACTTTCTAGTTGAATTTTGGTTCTCAGCTTCCAGGTCTCACGCTCAAGTTGCTCCCTAAGCTGTTCATTATAGTCAAACTTCTTCTTCCAGCTTCCAAATTGCGCTCTGTCTTTTTCTCTTCCTTTCCTTAGCTCTTCAGCTTGCTGTCTTAGAGTCGTCTCATTTCGCTCTTTCTCCCCTACGATTTCTGTCAAAGTGTCAACATGCTGTTGCTTAAACTCGAGGTCCTTCGCCATATCTGCTGCCAATGAGCGCTTCTCTGTTTCAGCTCTTGCTTTGTCTTGCTTTCTGTATTTGTTTAGCTCTTCAATTTGTTGTCTTAGTGTCGTCTCATTTCGTTCTTTCTCTCCTACGATTTCTGTCAAATTGTCTACGTGTTGTTGCTTAGACTCGAGTTTCTTTGTCATTTCTGCTGCCAATGAGCGCCTTTCAGCCCTCTCTTTCTCAGATCTCGCTCTTTCGTCGTCCGTTTCGGTCTGTAGTCGCTCAACCTCACGTCTTGCCGTCTCTTCTGTCTTCTTTAAGTGTTCCGCCATTGTTCCGATGTGCAGCTCTTTTGAATGTAGTTTCTCCTCCAGCTCAAGCTCTTTTTGTTTGTACATCTCCATAGCGTGCTTTGCTAGTTTCTCCTTTTCACTCAAAGTCATTTCGAGTTGCTTTCGCTTATGTTTTTCACATTCCATCTCGCTTCTAAGTATCGCTGAGTCGTTGACAAGGCCCTCATGACTGGCTAAGGATTCTTCAAATTTCCGTTCAAGCTCCTGCAGTTCGTGTCTTTGTTCGCCGACCTCTTTGATCATCTTCACATTTGCTTCTTTCGCCTCTTTCGCCTCTTTCTTTGTTTTCTCATAGAGAAACACACATCTTGGATTCGTGCATACCTTCTTCTGTTCATCAGATGCTAACGCTCTGTCACCTTCTTGGAGGCATCCACGTATTAGGTCAAACCACCGCAATTGTCCATCAGCTGAGCGAATGCGATCAGGCTCAGGAATCTCATAGATGTCAGTGATCCATGACTTCCCCATGTTTTCACATTCACCGGGAGTGTACATGGCACAGAGAGTAATGCAACCTATCCAACCCAAACAAAAAATAATTTGTATTGAAAGAAGCCGTTTAATCGTTATAAACCTCTACATAGCACACATATGTCACTTTTTTTTTCTTTTTTTTTTGGGGGGGGGGGGGGGTGTATTCTTGAAACCAGAGAATTAATCGAATCTGTAATTTTTCGTAGATATCTGTGACTTCTAGTAATAATTGTCATCAACCTTGTTACATCCAACGTACGCAGGACTAATTACCAGCTCTCCTACCACCAACTTTTAAGCAACACAAATATCCGAGTCTGAGCACTTGTTTTCACCTTCCATGGATAATGTACTTGGAACGTTGTTTACCTCTTACAAGGACATTGCTACTAAAAAAATCTTCTGTGTGCCCATGCCTTCAGCCATAATGCATGGCCGTACAGAGGATATGTCTATGTTGGGGACTGGGGTAAAATGTAATGAATTTTTGATAATTTATTGCATTTTTTGTTTGTTTTTTATTTGTAGGAAATGCCCCCTACCCTAGCCCCCGCTGCGTACAGTCATGGTTCAGTGACAAAGCAAAGGCCTCGTAACTGTGAGGCCTAGGATCAAAACCGTGTCGATATGCTATATAAGTGCCCTTTTGTGGGGCGTTAAACCTCATTACTGTCATTTATGACTTAAGGGCATAGGTTCCCTAGTTGATAAGCATAGTAGCATACACATGCTTGAGCAGTCTAGCAAATCAAACACTGGCAAATTACTAATCAATAAAATCTGAGAATGTATACTATTATCTAGAGCTATTAGGAATAAATCATAGTCAAAATAATTCCATAAATTGGGGTAAAAACAAAATATTCCAACTTTATGAGCAACAGTGTAGTAATAGGGTTGCTTACAAACCGAGGACATGATACGGTATGTGCAAGCATATCAAATACAATAGACAAATGTAACATTTCAATGGATGCTATAGTGGTACATATTAAATTGTATAGTACATTTGCTTATCTTGCTTTCATTTGTTTTAATTCTTTGTCTAGAGTGACCGCCATTCCTTTATGTTCAAATAATAATTGAGTGAAGAGATTGGACAGCGTGTGTAGAACAGAGATCAATAAGTCAGATATGTAGATAGTAGTATGTGGAGATGTGAGAGGAAAATCAAGGAATCAGTTTGATGACATTTTGAGGAAAAGTGAACAAAAATTCGTTCATTTTGAAAAGATATACTGTTATTATTTGAATATACAGTGCGTCCGAGAATTATCGATGTTGAATCATAACTGTGATAAATAATCACAATTATGATAAATAAATGACACATATGTGCAAACTTATATCCTTTCTTTCCATTTGATGCAACTCATGTGATGCATATTTTACGCATGAGTGATTAAAAATAATTTGAAGAGAGGGTACCAGAAAGTCATTTGGCTGGTGGTATCTGAATTTCAAAAAGTAAATCACATTTCTAAAGTAAGTTTATTTTCTGCCCTTTCATATGACACCTCAATTAGGATACATGAGCCAGGAGTAACAAAGTTCTGTTTAAAGTAATTCTTGAATTTTCATAATTTGATAAAAACGAATTCGTTTCCACTGGCTGCCTGCCATAGCAACATACATAGTTGAAAAAGTCTTAACTCCGTTTGTTGACGATTAGCCATGCATCAAGCCTTTCGTCATCTTTGTGAAGGTCAACGAAACGGATTTAAGTCATTTGTTGTTTACTCGAAATATAAAATGGCCTCCATGTCAATAAGATGTGAGCGCGCAGCGCAGGCAGTGACGCAACAATACACGCGCATCTGAAAACATTGATGACGCGATGTTTACTCGCAAAATAAAATGGCGACCTTAACCGTGAAGGGGTGTATTGTGTATTAATTCAAAATTATACACCTTAAAGGTATTACAAAGTTTTGGTATGGGGTCATGAATTTGGTTCAAATTAACATATTGGAAGCATATGCGTTCCTACAATATTCATTGATCGTTGTCAAGGTTGAAATCGAGTCTAAAGTTATGAAATTGTAAATAATAAACTCTTATGTTGTATAGCTCCCTCTCAAGGTCAAGATATTAAATTAGCTATGAAACAATGTTTCTTGACTAAAATCGACCAATAAGCTATTCCCGTTTGGAAATTATATATCACAACTACATATTCTGAGGTTTTCTTGGTCGCAGCTACCATTGTACGGCCATAGGCGCTATTTGAAGTTTATCAAAATTTACCGGGAGCACCGGTAAATGTTTATATTCAATTTTTCTCAAAAACAGAAGTGTTTTAGGGGCTATTTTTTGTAGTGCTTATAACCAGAGGGGCATCCAAATATATCAAAATTGTAAAGATTCACTATCCACCCGATTCTCATAATTTCCCAAAACTTTGTATTACCTTTAATATGCCTCTAGGTTATTGTCCTACCTACCGGTAAGGTTTAGGAGCAAACTCACCTGTAATTCTCTTTAGCAAATCGATCCGTTCACTATTGTACAAAATATCAGACGAGCTGAAGATATAAATTAGAAAAAGCACCGATTTAGAATCATTATTATTGCCGTGGGGATGAACTAAGGGTTATTGATAACAAAATGCATACAATTTGATTGTGCGAACCACCCTGCCCCGCCCCGTACCGAAGCCCACCCTTAAGGCCCGGTCACACAGAGGAGACGCATGGGGGACGCACGGCCAGCGCATTGGAAATTTGCAATTTGGGCCAGTGCGTTGTCGTTCGCTAGGCGTGCGGCATCATTCGTTACTCGTTCGTCGAGCGCGCTGGACCCACGCTATGCATTCGTCGTCATTCGCTGTGTGCGTCGGGATTTTTTGAGCATGCTCATAAGTGTGTGCGGAGCTCGACGCATGAATGTACACGCCAAAGGCACGCAAGGCATGCGTGGAGCGCGCTAGACCAGCGCCAGACATACGCGGAGCACACGCCCTGTATACGCACAGCGCGCTAGCTACACGCTGTGCATTTTGTGTCAGCTCGCTAGCTTTTCCAAAATCATGACAAAAGTTAGGCACACGGCCTTTCCGATTTCCAATGCGCGGGCCGTGCGTCGTCTATGTGTGACCATCTCTGTTGAGAACGCGGTGCATGCGTGGACCATTCGTCCAGCGCGCTAGCAACACTGTGCATTCGTGGAAGTTGTTATCATGTGCGCTCTGTGTACGGTCTGTATGCGCACTGTATGCACCCTGTATGCGCTCAGCGCGCTAGCAACACGCTATGCATTTGGTGTCAGCTTCGACAAAAGTTGGGCGTACGACAACGCACTGGCCAAAATTGCAAATTTCCAATGCGCTGGCCGTGCGTTCCCCATGCGTCCCTTCTGTGTGACCGGGCCTTTACAAATTGGTTTTATGTATTTGTTATACACTACAACGAAGGGTTCTCAGTGCTCTTATGCTACGTTTAGACTATGCTCCTGGCAGACACGGCAGCCCCGTTTGCCCGAAACGTAGTGGACCGTGTGATTCTAGCCAATTTTTTCTTTGTGTTCAAGTTTTATTATGCTATGTTTACACTATGTTCACGTTTCAAGCCACCGTGGACAAAACGGGATGGAAGTGAGACAACGCAGGGGGACGAAATGGGCTAACGTGACAGGCTGTTATTGCCGTGGATACCGGGCCAGCTCTTTAAAATGTCAACGAATTGGCCACGGCAGTCACGGTACGGATGATAAACCTAGTAGGCCGTAGTAAAACGTGGTGAACGCAACGAAACGTGACAGTACGTAATGTGCCGTAACAAAACTTGGAGGCGTTCCGTAGTGGGACGGTTTACTGGCCCGGCGCGCTAAAGCGCGTTGCATTTTACTACGGTCTGACGGTAACGTTTACGGCCCCGGCGCGCTAAGGCGCGTTGCGTTCTACTACAGTCTGGCACGACAGGCTGGTCTCAGGATACAATAATTGATATTGCTTTGAAGGCTTTTTTTATACCGTTGGCCCAAACGTGCTTGAAACCTGCCCGGCGTCCACGTTTCATCTTCAGAAAGCTTTAGCAGAACGTGAAAAACTTGTCAGACCTTGATTAGAACGTGACGGGCCGGAAGGGAACGTATTTGCATCCTTGGTACAACACAGGCCGTACCGTAGATGGCCTTTTCCCTCTTTCCTTCCTACGGTTCGTCACGGAAACTGTGATAGACCGTAAGAAAACTTGGCTAGTCTTAACAAAACTTGAGTACAGAGAAGGAAAAAAAAAATCTCACGGCGCACAACGTTTCTGGCAAACGGGGTTGCCGTATCGGCCGGGAACATAATTTGTAAACGTAGCATTAGGTTTCGGATGCTCCAAGGCGCACTACGGTTCGGCCCGTGGTTTACCTCGGATACCGGTATTCTTCCTCCCGGCCCATCACGTTCTAATGAGGTCGCTCACGTTCATCGCGTTCTGATTAAGGTCTGACGAGGTTTTAAAGTTCTGTCAATGATTTTTACGGTTGAAATGTGGACGTCGAGCAGTTTTGGAGAGCGTTTGTGCCCACGGTATAAAAAGAAGGCCTGCCCCAAAATAGCAATCATTTTATCCTGAGATTTCGACAAGACAACATCAAAAATGCCAAAGATGAAGAAGATCTTGTGTTTGCATGTTTGCTGGGTGAATACATTTAGTCTTTGCGTCAGCAGCATTTGTAGAGAGGGAAAACCAGAGTTCAGCAGGCAGGAAGAAGGCGAAGAAGGCGGATGAGAAGGCCAATATCCATGTGGTTGCGCAAATGACTATCAAAAGACAGAAGGCAACATCTGGGCCACTACTCAACATGTCTCACCAGAGAGCTCCGCACCGGAGATTACAACGCCTTCCAGAGCTATCTGATGATGCCTCAAGAGCTCAATGATGAGATCCTGGAAAGAGTACCACCGGCCATCAAGAGACAAGACACGAAGTTCCACTCTGTCCTACCACCTGGACTGAAGTTGTCAGTGACTCTGGGACATCTGGCCACTGGGGACAATTACTCATCACTCTCCTATGCGTTTCGGTGCAGTAAGGCAGCCATCTGCCATATAGTGCCAGAAGTGTGCAGGGCATCGAGGAAGCCTACAACTTACAAGGACGAAGTGTTCACCGTTCCTGTGGCGCCCGATGAGTGGAGAGCCCTTGCCCAGGAGTTTGAAGACAAGTGGACTGTGCCTCATGCGGTAGGAGCTCTAGACGGGAAGCAGTAACAGCATGCTCCTCTTCATCTGGCGGGGGTGAACAGCGAGGATCTTCAGGCTCTTGCTCCTCTACTGGTGGTGGTGGTGGTGCAAGACGGAGGGGGGGGGGGGGTTCCGTTTTTCTGGCATCTTCGGTGGCATAGCTTGGCCTTCTTTCTTCGTATTTTAGATGCAGTTAAGTTTCGTCGATTGCTAAGACTCGGAATGAAGCTCCTGCCAGGCCCGGCTTTTATATACTACCTCCCAGACCGCGTGCGCCGTGACAGAACAAAGTAGAACGCAACGCGATGTAGCGCGGGCCCCGCAAACAGTCACACGCCATGATGTGCAGTGATTGAACGCGATAACACGGCTACCATACACCCTAGCTTGCTGTGAGAATCGTGGCAAAACTTGGCAAAACGAGACGAAATGCGCAGCAACAGTAAAGCGACCGTAAAAAAACGTGCCCGAGACGTGACAGAACGTGGCAAAACTTGAAGGGACCGTAAAATGCCGGGAATGTACAGGCTTTCCGTCCCACTACGGACCACCTCCAAGTTCTTATACGGCCTATTACGTATTGTTACGTTTTATTGCGTTCACCCCGTTTTACTGCGGTCTACTAGGTCTCTTATCCGCACCTTGACCGCTGTGGCAAATTTGTTGACAGTTTAAAAATCTGACCCGACATCTACGGCAATCACGGCCTGTCACGTTTGCCCATTCCGTCCCGCGCGTTGTCTCACGTCCACCCCGTTCCGCCCACAGTGGCCTGAAACGTGGTTGCCGTGGCCGCCGGGAACATAGTGTAAATGTAGCGTAATGCGTATGTTGCAGGTACCCAGTGTTTCACTAGTATTAAACGTAAGGGCCATAATGTTGTATCCATTAACGGCCAAATCGATTCTGCCGACTTTGCAGAATAACGAATACCTATTGTCACTGTGAAATACAACACTTCAACATGCAATTATCTGACTTTTTGTTAGTTTGATAGTTTCAATTACTAATAATCGCCTGTAGTCCCCTCAACGAGCACCCTCCGAAGAAATCAAGAAATAAAGCAAATGACATGAAGTAATCTTTATATAATAATGTGCTATCTTTGACTCGAGAATATAAAGTGTTAACATTCAAAATTCAACTTTGTACTCTCGGTCATTACGCTTCCTCCCAAATTAGGTGATGCAGTACTTTAAATGTGTACATTTATTCACAAACTTTATATTAAAAGGCCCCCAAAGTTCTGGGTCAAGTGCATATCTTGCAAAGAGGAGGTAGGATTTTTTTTCTCGTACACCTTCCTAGATAAGATAGTTACACTACACTAATTCTTTAGCAGAACTACCACTTGAAAAAGATTGCTAGGACTCTAAAATACAGTCTTTGATAGTACACAATCTTTTTTTTTTCTTGGGTACTAAACTATCGAGCAGCTTTATAAAAGAAAGTGTGTAGAGTGAAAAGGTTGAACGCAGGGGTTTCCCGTATAAAGGGGGAAATTTAAACTCGTTGTATCGCCCGGCAGGCGTAACAACATTTTAAAACACTTGTTTCATTTGATAATTTATTACTATATGTTTAAGCTTTAGCGCCTTCAAATAAAGTTTCAAGTTTCCACAGACAAAAAAAAAGTTTAGCACCCGGTCGCTACGTGATCTCGAATGTTAATAGATGTAAAACTTCTCATCTATTTTTCACTGTAATAAAAGGGTAAGGGCACCTTTAATTTCAGCACCCCTCTCACAAGGGAGGATACGAAACTGTTTAGCCGAAAGCTCTATCTGCTGAGACTGGCACATGTTCGATCTCTTTATCATAATTTTTGAAGTTGGCTGCGATTGATAAGCTGTGAATTTGTGGTTTTTAGGTGTGAAAAGTAGTAATTCTTAGGTGCCTTAAAACAGCTCTTTAGATGGTTTCAAAGTTACCATAATTTTCTTGGTGATGATCACGTGGCTCAAACTAATGCTGTGAATCCGTGATACTTAGGTGTGAAAAATTAGGAATTATTAGGTGTCTTAACCCTAAAACGGCCGGGGGGGGGGCATACGATCTCTGCCTAGGAAGGTCCAATTAATGTGGAAATTGGCATGGTGATAGATTGAAGTATATTATATAAGATGGTAATGTTTATTTTCTTTTATGTTTTTTAATGTTTTTGTTATTCATATTTTTATGATAATATGACCACCAAAAAAAAAAAAAAATCAAAATTGCGTGATTTTGAACAATGCATGGTCAGATTTGACTTAATGAAATTGTTGTTTTAGTTGAGTAATAACATTTATCAATTGAAATATAAGAGTTTCTAATACAAAAATACAAATAAACACACACAGGTACAAATATGTTTGCTACATGTTGTTTTCATATAAAACTATAGTTTGTACAATACTTTGCGGGTGAAAAGCGTCAGTTTCTTTTATGTTTATAAATACCAATTTCTTATGTTTTCCATTGTTTTTAATTTCTTATGAATTTCATCATGTGAAGGAAAAAATGCACGGCCAATACTAAAGAAGTATAATCATGAATGTATGACTTCATAACATGAAATAAATCACTCATGATGTTGATTTTGATAAAGATTATAGAATTGCAATAATTACTTACACACGTACATTTGTGAGAATTACATATTTGTATTGATATGTGATGATATTTTGTCACCTAACACCCGAACCATAGGTCCGCCCATAACGAATTTGGTAATAAAATGTGTGGAAGACATAAGAAAAAAAAGATCATGAAATTTCAGTCCCAAAGATTCACAAGGATTTGATACAGCGGCAAAAATTCGACAGGGGGACATTATACCCACCCCCCCCCCCCATTCGGCCTTATTAAGGTTAAAACACCTTTTTAAATGGTAGTCAAAGTTGCCATAAGTTCCTCGGTGATGATCTCGTGACTCAAACGGATTTTTAATCTAAGCTTGGATCCGATATTTTTAGATGTGGAAAATATTAAAGTAATTCTTAGGTGTCTCAAAACACGTTTTAAAATGGTTTCACAGTTACCATTTAAGTTCCGTGCTGATAACCCTGTGACTGTTGGCACATTTCCAGTTGCACAACTTGAAAACTGACTGTTGGCATATTTCCAATTCCAGTGTTGAAGTGATGTTGACATTGGCAAAATCAATTAGTACAAGTGCTATAATTATACTCTAAAGTACTAATTAAGTGTTTCAACTGGATGTCAACTGCCTGGGAGTTTTACCAAATGATTCAACTGGTTCAGCTAGACCATACAAATTTATAACTGGTCCAGTTATACTGGTCCAGTTGGCCTGGGTCAATTGGATCAGTTAGCCCATTTCAATTTCCAGGGTTACAATTTCAACTGGACCAATTGCACTGGACTAGTTTTTCTTTCTGGGATGTCCGGATAATTTCGTTATTATAATGGTGATATTACAGTGACAATTGCGTGATTTAGGGTACGTGTTTTTAAGTGACCTAGTGCAAGAAACTTGTTAACACAATCACGTAAATGACAAATCTTCGAAGAATCGATACCTTGATATTGACGTGATTTTCACGTGAATTTGATTATTGGGTTCCCCCCCCCCGGCTTTTTTTTTTTTTTTTTTTTTAGTGGGGGGGGGGGGGGAGTTTTAAGATAAAAAGATATAATATTTGTTGTTAGTCAATATGCATATGGCTAATGTGAATATAGAAAATTAAAAACAATAATACTCACGTCACTAACAGCACCATTACCCAGACCTTACCAGCAAGGTCTGTTATATCTTCCTCCAATTCAAACATTGAACCTGTAAAGAAGACGTATTTCATACATTGTGGCACTTGTGCATGTTGGGATGGACCTTTGAGATATTATAAACATGACATTTAGCCTGCATAGCAAAGAACGGCGTATATAAGATTATATAGTTCTTTAAATTGCGTTCAATATTTAAATATAGCACAACAATATGTTGTGATAACCAAAACAGTTTTTAAAATAATGCGTTTAATGAAGAAAATCAGAAATAGAAACACAGAGAAAAATTACAAAAAAATACAAACAAACACCGAACATAGTAATGTTTATAAATAAGAATGTTTGAAAAACCAAATACATCCCCTCCCCCTGTGATAAAATAGTGCATTTATATATCAACACTGTTTGAGCTTCATGTTATTAAAAATGTCTTTGAGAAACGCATATTAGGGCTCCTTTCTTCCTTGATCAGGTGGACATATAGATGTCATTTAGAGGACAAAAAAAACGTAACGATCATATAAGGATAAAAAGTACATCGAAACGGTGTCTGTATGACGTCTTCATTGGTGCAAGCTTACGTTTTGAAGATGACCCTTCTTAACCAATAAGATTATGTAAAGATTTAATTCCGTAAGATGTAACTATTGATACAAGTTAACACGTCAAAATATGACGTCCCCATGACGACGTACGCGGGTGCAAGTTTACGTCTTTTTGACGTAAAGTGACGTAATACAAGACCTAAAAAAGACGTGAGTTTTACCTGTTTTTGCTATCAGGGTAGTGACCCAAGTATGAGCAAATGGTGTCGGGCCTACCTGACCGGATTTCCTTTCCAGGTGCTCTTTTCTTAGGCACTCTATATTTTCTACCAACATTATTTGGCACATGTCATTTATTTGTAAACTTTAACAAGCAGTGTAAGTTTCGTTTGATTTTGTAAAACTCTATTTTCTAAATTTACAAAAACTGAAGTTTACCTTTAAAGAAATAGCTTTCATTCCGGAGATATAGGTTCATAGTGGAAGTGTAGTGTCATTTGAATTACAACAAAGACAAACAAAACAATATTGCGTATTTTCTCAATATACTAACCCCTGGATTCTCTCATGATGACAGATACAGAATCGGTGAGATATTCCTCTTGATGCTCAGTACGTGTTTGATATTCATCAACATGCTGTCTTTGCTCTACGTCTCCATGAAGGGCGCGTCTCAGGGCATGGACTATATTGTACCTATACCCAAAACGATCAATCATACCAATTACAAGCTTCTCAGGAAACACCACT